TCAAACAAAACTAATAAACTAGGGTTCCACAAATAACTAGGCCTACTTCATACAAATAACTTTTCCATAAACTATGCCTACTTCATACAAATAACTCTTCCATAAACTAAACTAGGGTTCCACAAATCAAACAAACAAGGGTTGTAATACATGCAAAGTTCTAATACATGCAAGATTCAAATCTAATCTAATCAAACAAGGATTCCCCAAATCTTCAAAATATCATATTTTCTATGGATGGATAGAAGGGGATCGGAGGAGAGTACCTTCTAGGATGGATTGGTGAAGAAATGCACGGACCAAATCGTTGGATCTGAAGGATTTGGCAGAGGGGATTGAGAGGGGGAGAGGAGGAAGCCGCCGGCGCCGCTGCTTCTGGAACTTGCAACTGAACGAATGGGGTGGGGTGGGGGAAGGGGAGCGGACGGCTGGCATCTAAGTCACAGTGCAGCGCCTACAAGCTGGGCGCTGCATATTACATGTGTGGCGCCTAGCTCGGAGGCGCTGCACTGCTGGGTGCGGGCCTAGGGGCTGTCACGGTGGACTGGAGTGCAATGCCCCCGAGTTAGGCGCTGCACCGTAGAGTGTGGCGCCGTCGTGGCGGGCGTTACACAAAAAGGTCAGCGGTGTGAAATAGTTTTACAGGCAGTTCATTTCATGAATTAATTTCGTCCAGAGGTTAAAATTGTCAAATTTGCCAACGAGACGCAGCAGCCTCAAGGACATCCTGTGTTTATCTCTGTTGATTGTTTATGTGGTGATCAGTGCTGCTCGCGCCGATTTGGATCCACATCTGAAACTCTAGTACCACAAGTTGACCACGTGGTACACGTGGTAAGCAACCTATGATAAACAAACAGGTTGTTTTCCTTACTAAAAAAAATAGAGAAAAGTAGTGCTAGTTAGGATGATTCGACCTGTTGGCTTTGCCAGAAAAAAAAAACATGACCAGATGGATCACCGACCACTGCCACGTACGTGAAGAACTCACAGAGGACCATGTTGCAAGGAGAAAGGCATGCATCATCAGGTCATCTTCAACGAAAGTCTTGTTGTTGTTGGTAAAATGTTCATATCATCAATCAAAATCAACAAGCTATTATACAATTATTTTGCAAATTGATGTTCGTACATACAGGTAGGTTTGGGCACTTTTCTGCCTTGAAGTCCACCAGCTTTAGCTGAGTCGCCGTCGTCGATGCGTGCGCAAGGGTGCTGCTACTGCTGCTGACGGTGATCCGGTGCTCTAACTCCATGGCCAAACTGAAGTTGCGTGTCCACGCCAACGTGGTGAAATCCGCTACGACGTCTGAACTGTAATCAGTCGTAGAGGCAGGGCGCGCCTCTTAGCATATACTTCCTCCGTTTCACAATGTAGTACGTATTTGATTTTTTTATCAAAAGTCAAATAGGTCTATCTTTGAACAAGTTTACAGAATAAACTATCGATAGTCCTAAAAACGTGTCGATAGCTAAAATACGAAATAAGTAAAATATAGAAATACCGTCCCTAACGAGTCTAGAGATACATGATTTTATATTATATTTCCTCCATCCAAAAAAGCTTATCTCAAGCTTGTCCCTCGAATGGATGTATCCTAGTGCTAGATACATCTATTTGAGGGACAAACTTTTTCGGACGGAGGAAGTATTTCCTTTGTAAACTGATATAATATCTTTTAAATCACTAAATATAATATTTTTTAAATCATCACTACTTTAGTGATCTAAAAATCATATATTAGTTTACGAAGGGAATATTATGGATGTTAATACATTTTCCTTTAAACTTGGTCAGACGTAGACATGTTTAACTCTCAAAAAACAAAATATGCACTACATTTTGAAATAAAGGAAGTACGTCTTTTATATAGATACTTCAACCACAACAGTATAAAGTAGCCTTCACACAACTACTTGACCATTTTATACATGAATGATCAACCAGAGGAAGTTTCTATAGAAAAGAATCATCATCTATTACCTTCAGACACTTCATGTCGTTTTGGCTTCAACATCATTTTTTTGCAAAAATTCTTCTGATTTTTAATAGTATGTAACAATAGTACAAAGATCCCGATGAGCAAACTGCAAAAAAATAAATTCATAAGTAACAAAAATTACAAGCAGGTCCATGAACCACTTAGCAACGACTATAAGCACTAGTACAAGTTGTTGAGCGTACGTTGTACACTGCATATGTATAGGACTTGGGTCTGTATTTATACCGGTGTATCTCTCTCTCTCCTCTTATATTTGTACATCTTGAAAGACAAGTAGAGGCCGGTCCACCATATACCTATATATGTGCACCATGCACACAATTAATGATTATCAATTCTTGCAATCCCATTCTTCCTAACTAACATGGTATCGGTTTAGCACGCCGATTCTATTCCCACCTTCCGCACCATCCGCCACCGCCGCCTCCTTTGCGTCGCCGCCACCGATGTACACCGCCGACGCCGCACCCCTTCCCCTCGCAGCCGCCGCCACTACAAGAAATACACTCAATTATGACTCCCCATTTTGGTCGTTGATTCGTCATATTTATCGTTTATTGACCTTTTTTTGACCAAATTCAGAAGGTCAACAGTTGGCTGTCAAGAACGAACAAACTTGACCTTTTTGGAATTTTGGTCATAGCTAGACTGATGACCAAAATTTCAGAAAGGTCACTACCCACTTGCCTGAGCCACGTAGGATCTGACATGGCTGAGCTGACGTGGCATTGTTAGTGACCAAATGGAATCATCATAAATTTCATAGCCCAGTCCATCAATCTAGCCTACATGGGCCTGGCCCAATACCTATCTTTTTTATTGAAATGGTCTGATTTATTTGGGCTGATGCATTATTTTCAGAAGCATGCATATCTCATGTATGAAAACAAGTACAACAAAATACAATATTGCAGATAAATTGTATATTTCATTTCAGTAACACATCACATGAAATACAATACATCATCCATTAACTCCTCTACACAGAAAGGTCCAAGGTCCAACAAGTGCACAAGTGCACATCAAAATAATGCTTCAAGTGCAAGTGCACAGCAAAAAGACCCAACAAGTGCACAGGCGCACAACAACATATTTCTACAAAGATTGGACGAGATGGGCAAATTTTAGTTGATCACACATAACATCAATGAGAAACGAAGCTCCTTCTGCCCTTCGCTTCTTTTGAGTGCTTCAGATCATCCTGGTAATTGGAATAATCAAACATAAGAAAGCACACAAAATATGAGCAAACAAAAGATAACTGGAGGTTTTACATCCAGCAATTAACGCAAGACTAAGACATGCTCCCATATAAATTTCAGGAATTGCAGGATTATTCTTGTGTTAGCTCAACACTTTGTGCAAAAAAACTCACATTAATAACTTCCAACATGAAGAGATGTCAATCATATATCTTTAACACAGTAAAATAAACAGCACCGACATGAGCACCACAACACAACACAGCTCATATACCACTAAACCAAACTCAACACAAACAACACATGCACACAAAGTATGCATGGCTGAAACACAACCTCATATGTAGACTTTAACTTAATTCATGAGTTTGAATCGAAGTAACAATTAGAACCATTTCCTGTAGTGATGTCGACCTTTATTGTTGAACAGGAAAATGCTAACAGCTAGTTACAGAGATAAACATAATCCTCCCAGAAGAGTCTTGGCAATTTGCATTAAATATTAACATGGTTGCAAAACTTCAGTTTGAGGGTAGCATGTTTCTTTAGCCTTTACTTGACTAGAATTACAAAATGAAGCACATGAACAAATCATACAAACAAGCAACCCCATGAAGACCACTCACTTGAATCTTGTTTATACTTTTCTTGCAGATTAAGATGTGGGGAAAGAGTGTTACCTTGATGGGATCTCAGTAGTAGCATACAACCTGGATAGTGTAGACTAACTCCGGAGGAAAAATATTACATTTTCTCGAAGGTGAGATTGAGCTAGACATTGCCAAAAAATCCTTGCATTCACTTGGTTCAGATCTTCCCTATGAGGTGATGAGCATTCCACTGCAGCAAACCAAAAGATAAAAATCAAAATACAACCACTTTCATAGAGACAACTACAAGCCAAGTTTAGCTAATATGACTTCTATAGCATGCAAGATGTTTCTTAGATCAACAAAAGTTGGATGAACATTCTAAAATCAATCTAATAACTAGACTAACATATAAATGCAGATTGAACAAAAACAAGAACAAAAGCTACGACGAGGAACCCTTGTGCGACATATAAAGAGTAGAGTATTCAATGAAGGTCATATTTTCCACAAGACTGATCAAAACAAGAAATATTCGAGTCTACTAATTTATTACTGAATCACATAACATCATAGGAGAAAACAATGATTTTCAAGTTTAACTAAGACATGCATATAGGCTAACGAATAGTAAGTCACAGCCAAAAGCATTTCGACTTCCATTTATTTGCACCCACACAATCATCATGTGCTCACAGTTCAGAACATGTTATTTAATTATGTAGATCCGCATTGTTGCTGGCCTGACTAAACTCGTCCTCTAGCATACGGGGATACGGCAATTTGATTAGGTAAGGATTATATGAATATAAAAGGACATTGCTACAAGGCAAAGCCTGCTGTGGTGCTTGCAGATTATTTGCAGCAGGCACTTACCAACATTATTGACATTGTTTATGACTTGGAAGTCAGTAAGACACTAGCTCAGCTGGTGTAGAGAAGTTGATTATACATGTCTGTGCTGCTACACTGACTGAGGGTTCCCATGGAACACTCTCAACTAAACAAGCTTTTTCTCAGTGATGATAGTATCTACTTGCTCTCTATAATCAGTCAGGATTTTGTTCTTACCATGCATGTTCAGGCATAATTACGCAAAAAGACTCTGTCCATCTCTGGTAAGATACACTAACATGTGTCCGTGCACTACTCATGCATGCCTATAATTTGTTTGTTTGTACACTAGCTGAAAACGGGTGACACAATTAAGAAAATGGCATGAACATATATCTTCTCTGGCTGCAAATAACATAGCAGCAGATACTGTACTGAACCCACCATTGATAAATTCCCTCACCGATGCTGGCACCTTCAGAGCAGCAGGTTTTAGTTCCTATACATAGCAGCAGATTTGGCACATTCAAACATTAATTTGAGCAGCCACAAACACCGTCATCGATCAATAGTGCTCGGAAAGAAAAGAAAGAGACTGACCGATGCTGAACTCTAAGGCGAGGACGGTAGTGAGGATGGCCCAGACGGGGCTGCGAGCCGCGTGGTCATCTTGGCCACGTACACATGATTCCTGGGGGGCCTTGCGCGCGAACGCACGCATCTCCTTTGCCATTGCGAGCACCGCCGCCCGCCACACGGGCCGATTGTCTGGATCCTCATCGCCGCCGAAGCCGGGGCCATTGGAGTTGACCCAGTCAAGCGACGCGGCTCACCCAGCGCCCGCTAGTCCAGCGACAAGTTCGCTGCTCCGGCAGAAGCGGCAGCGACCACATCAGCGAGGCGGTGATCCGTCAAGCCCCGCCCTCCGTTGTCATGCGCGCGGTTGGTGCAACAGCGATTCTCGGTACCCGCCGCCGTCAAGGTCTATTCCCACCGCCGTCCTGGTGACCTGCCGCCGCAGCCGCGGGATGGTTAGGCCAGATCCGTGTGTGGATTTGATGGATCTGGCCAGATCGAGGCTCGACGGGGAGGAGGTGAGGGGGTCGTGGCCTCGTGGAAGAGTCCCAGACCCGGGGCAAGGGGAGGGGGTGGCGGCGCTGGAGGGGATTCGGGAGGAGTTAGGGTTTCATACATTTTATATTTTTTTTGAGAATCTCACAAAGCTTTATTACTGAATCATAATGTTCATAGGTACAAAAAGAAGATCGCCGGGTTGTCCTAGCCAAGTGTGTCGGCCAAACCCTAAAGATAACGCATGCTTTGCGAGATTATGGGCCTCCGTATTGGAGGTCCTATACTCATGAGTAAACGAACATGAAATAAAGGTAGTTGCTCTAGTCTTGATTTCCTCGACAATGGCTCCAAATTCTGCTGAGCTTCCCTGTCTGATTGCATCTACCACCACCTTGCAATCGGAGGCAACAAGTAAATGGTTGATATAGAGATCTTATGAAAGTGCTAATGCCTCCCGAATAGCTAGTGCTTCTAGCACTTGGGGGTTGTGCAGTCCTCTGAAAACGAGAGCTGACGCTCCCATGAACAAACCTCTCTCATCCCTGCAAACCACACCAACTGCGCCAAACGTACCTGGACGTGACACGGCCGCGTCCACATTGAGTTTGTAGTAATCTGTTGGTGGTGGAATCCACGTACGGGGTCGTGGTACTGCTATCCCATGTGCTTCCTCCTTCTTCTTCTTCAAAAACTCTATGTCTGATAAGTAAGCTTTGATGAAGTTGTCAGTGAGAAGAAAGGCTGAAATGCCAACGGACGTCTGTCTATTCTCTAATTCACCCGATCCCTATCCGCTTTCCAAAAAGGAAGAATGCATGAACCACGGCAGAGGAGAAAGGACGGATCACCTGCCGATTTTTTACAAAACTATGCCAGAAAGGATATAAAGATTGACCGGTACAAAAGCCATCTCCATCAATCTACGCTCATTAAGGAGAGGGTTCCTTAGAGAATAAAATGGGGAGCGAACGAAAAAGATGTGTGACTGAGGTGTTGGGAGCCCCCAATAGAGAAGGACGATGCGGAAAGGTATGGTGGGAATACAAACAGGCCTGGATAGAAGAAGTAGACGAAAGACCTCCAGGCTGTGTCGTCATTCTCAATCCTGAAAAGAGAGCGCACATCCTGAGGAAGGCGCGTCATGCAAAGGTTCCCATTTTTTCCCTTAGTTGACCCCGTGTTTCTATCGGATCCTAAGCTTCATCGGGACAAGCGCATAAACCATCCCATCCCGGTAGAGGGGACAGAGCAGCTCAGCGGGCTAATCAGTGACCTCATCTACCCAAAGACTTTATTTCTGCTGTACTTTCTTAAGCAATAGGAGCTCCTTCATATGCCCTTGAAGGCGGGAATATTGGTACTGAAACGAGGTTTAAAGGTACCTTTTCCCGTTGTCCGCTTTGCCTTCGTACGACTTTCCTTGGCAAACTATCCCAAAAAAGGAATGGGCTTTTTCAAAATAAAACTTGTTGTTTACTCATTGTGGCAAAACAAAACTCTCTTATTTTCCTTCAAGATGAATACCAATTTGATAGAGGTGGGGCATTTTCCATGAGTGGATTCGAGAATGTGGTCCCTCCTCTCTTTTGACCAGTCCTTGGCTTCTTTGTTTGATGATGGCGATAGCTCTTCTCTAGCCCGGCTAGATAACAAAACAATGAAATAGCACGCCACTGTGGTGATAAATCTTCTTGATGAAATCTTACTGATTCGACTCGTGGACCTTTTCCAAAGAGTAGTGGCCTTCGTTCGAAAGGTGAAAACAACCAGTCAATACCTTATTGATTCAAAAGGGAATGCAGATGCAATCTACTTGGAATAAAGGGTCTTGGCATGTAGTTGACTTCATAATGAAGAGCCAGAAGTTTAATGTCACTAGCTTCATTCTTACAGAAATTGATCAAGCTAGAAAGAAGGGATTTCCACAAGAATCTTCTCTTTGCACCACACATCATGAGAATGATATTGAACAAGAGTCAGCTCAGCCTGCCTCTTCCTTTGCTCCCCATTTTTAGACTTCTACAAGTCGATCTTCTTACGATGGAAATCACGAAAAAGATCATTCGCTCTTACCTCGTCTGGAGCAGACGAAACGTCTTTTGTTTGGCCTTTGGCCTTTTCATTTCAGTACAGAAGCCGAGTAGATCAATCAGATGACCATGGGTATGAGTCTCTTGTTTCACCTTCAGGTGTCCCATTTCTGCATCCGTTCTTGTAAGCGATAGCGATCCGTTGACAAGAAATCACTTAGATTAATAAGGTTTTGTGACTACGAGTTGCAGAAAGCGGCGCAGCCAATGGCCTGGGCTTTGAGTGGTATGAATTGAATAAAATATCATAATAAGCACGGTCGATCAACATTGGGGTCAGCATTAAGAAAGAGAAACCATGGGATATGGCCACGATGGACTTTATTGAGGGCCCGGCGCCAGGGAACTATACTCGCTAGCCCAAGCTACTGGTTTTATTTATAGAGTCAAGGGTGAGCATGTGACTGTGACTAAATAGCAGCGTGCCTTTGGCTCGCAGTATTGGAAAAAGATGAATCGGACTTGGCAGATTGAACTGCAGACTATAAAGAAGGAGGAAGAAAGCCCATAA